TGAAAATGGAGCATACCACCCCAAATGGCATTTTTGCCAGAATGGAAATGATGAATCAGTGGATGGTGGCCGGGGTGGCCTATTTTGAGCGATACCAAAAAAGGCTTGGGGGGTGCTTATGAAACCCTATGAAACCCAGCATCATCACCGTACTACATGATTGGAGATGACTACGCCCAATGGGCAAGTAACGTTTGCATATATGTCTACATATTCTACATATTCTATGTCAAGACCCCAGCAATGAGGGGATGCTAGAGAAGCAAAATCGGACGATAACAGTAACCAATGCCAGGATACACCGAAACTAGGTCACGAGCCTGACTTCAAGGACACTTTGAAACATATTAAAGTGGATTCGTAGAAGCAAGATGGTCTGAACACATACAATGACAGGGTTCTAAGTTTGACTCAAGCAAAACGATTTTTTTTTTGCGAATTGCATCAGCAGAACCGATGAACGAAGCCACTCCATGACAGGGTGGGCCCCCAACAAACGTGTCCTCGGACATGTTCCTTCCAAAGAAATAACCTAGAGTTTCCCATGGTTTCCCATCACAAATCACCAGAAACAATTCTGAGCAACAGAACAAGCACTCAGATATGTAAATCAACAGATGTTTTCATATGCTTTCATTATCCCAGAGAAAAACAATCATGAAAATTTAGGGTTGCTCCAACTCATCATATCCCATAGGATCCATGTATGGTATATATGCTAAGCCTTCATTTATGTCCCTGACTGGTTGATTTGTCGCTCCTTTTCTTGTTGCTGTGTCCTTTGTGATTCCTAGGCTGAAGGCATTTAATTCAACGAGGCGTGTTCCTCGCAGCAATCAGAGGTTCAAAGACTACACTGCAGTTCTCCGTGCAGTGTTGCTGAAACTGGCACAAGCCGTGCTCGAAGCCAGAATCAGTGGCGGCAGTCGGGAGAAATAAGAGAAGATTGCACCAGCATTTGCTTGTCTCTACTTTGTGATTGAAATTATCCACCGTGTTGTTGACCGGACCTTGCTTGAGGGCCGTGGTCGCGGCATAACACGTCATCCCCATCTAACTTGTCCTGAACCTCTAGAATCTCGTGGACCTGCGAGCTAGGCTAACAGCCTGGCCCTCACCTCGGCTAACCTTACTTAGAAAATTCTTGTCAAACACATTACATAATTTTTCTTACAATAGAAGTGGCTGAACCTAGGCTGGCACAAGGCCCATGAAGGCACACAGAGGCACAAGACCGGCTCAACGAGCAGTTCGTCGCAGATTGCGTAGAGCTTGCATCCGGAGAATTTTGCGGTTGAAAACCTGGTTATGGTATGTGGCTTTTTGCGTGTTGATTCAACTCCCGCTTGTTGTTGCAGCTTGTTATAGTTGGATGAGAAAGCCTGACCCCCATGCAGTTGATGATTCGCACCAGCCCCGGCACAGGAATGCATGTGAAAGACCTTGCTTGCCTGACATGTCAGATTTAGTTGTGGATTGGGAGCCCTTGCCGGAAGATGCCGTCGTGAATCGTGTTTTACATGCATTGCGTTGTTGGCAGTCCCAAATCCATGTCCATGAGCGTGTTGAGCATGAACTGTCTCGTCATGTGCAAAAAAAACTTGTTGGCTTGGCCCCTGGACATGTCAGTGGTGTTGATACTTGTGTTCTGCGTTGTGTAACGATTGCGTGCTGTGCATGTGATGACCCACTGTTGGCCAAAGAACTTGCGCACCAGCTGAGCCTTGTAACACATGCCATGATAAACTGGGCATTCCCTCTTGGTGTCAAAACGAAGAAGGCCACTAGCATGGATTTTGACCACTTGTTGCATGTTGTAGGTTCTGTCCGCATGCTTCTGCATACTCGTTGGCAAGCGTCAGCCGGCCGTTGTCGCAAAGCTTGGGCACGGCAACGTTTGCAGTGCATGCACCCTGACTTGTCAGTTGCTTTATCTAAGACTTGCCTGCCCCCTGTCGCTTGAAGATAAATATGCGTGTGCTGACCTTCTGGCCACACAGGTAAACTGCAAGTCCACAGCCACAGAAGGCAAGGGTTACTTGTACTTGTTGTGTTCTTTGCGGCACTGTTACCTCGGTAGTACAGCATGCAATCGCCGTGCATGGAGGTGCACCTTGCGTGCACCCATGGCCCGATTCTATGAGCACTTGCATGACCTGAGAACAGCTAGGCGCTCTGCCAGCCATGCAAAATTCTTACGCAAAACTGCTATTTTTAAGCATGTTTCCCTCGGTGACTTTTGTGTATGGGTTGTTGGAGTTGAGGAGCTGTCCATGGTTAGAGCCCTCGAGCAATGTTTCCTGCGTGCTGGTCACTGGCCTGCCAACAGTCAGTCCACCAAAGCACCGACACAAAAACCAGTGAGGCATAGCAAAGCCAGCCGCCTTGGCGGCAGGCGGGCCCCACCACGCTTTCGTTGCATTCATGATACTAAGAAGCATCTTACTGACAGAACTTCAAATGTCATCTATAAAGCGTGTGACTTGATCCGCCGTAGGGCTTGTTGCTCCCAGATTTTGGTTGATCAAAAGTATTTGTCGCAAAGTTTCTTTCTCACCTTTCACGCAGCATATTGGCATGTGAGTTTGCACAGACTGGCCCTTACTGGTCAAGCTGGCCCCCTTGACTTGCGGCACACCCACTGTGCATCTCTCTTTGCATGCTATGTTTGTGAAACTAAGACGACATGTTGGGAATCCATTAGGCAGCGCTGGGGTTTGCAGAGTGAACCACCAGGCAGTGAAGCCATTGTTGCCATGTTTGCATTGCTTGAGCAGCCTAGTTGTAATATCCGGAAGCGGGGCATCAACGCTTGTGACCGGTGGCTCCGTAGTCATGGGCTTCCTGGCACCCGGAAGAGATTGCTGCGATGGCCCCTGTCCTTGCCAAAGCGTGTTTTTCAATCTAGCCTGCGTGATATCCAAAAGCAGTTATTGTTGACATGTTCACCGCTGATTGCACGTTGGATTGTCTTTGCGGTTCAAGCTGTGCAGCCTCCGCGGCACACCTTTGCTGTAAGGTGGAACCATATCAAGACTTGCCAGAACATGACTGATAAGCACCTGTTTGACCTGCCGCCTAGTTTGCTGAGGCTCTCGCCAACGGAGGGTGCTCAGATGAGGCTTTGCAAACATTATTGGAAGACCCCGGTTTGGGAGTCCCCATTCTCATGTGCGCAGCGCGCAGAGTGCAGCGTGCAAGCGTGGCTACGGTCGCTGGGCCAGAATGTTGGCCAATGCTGGCGAAGACATATCCGTGGTTGGCTCCACCACCATTTGGCTAGCTTTCAACCTTGCCTAGACCAACATTTGTCCTACGTTGCAAACTTGACTGTCCCTCTTGATCATGTTGCTGTGCAGGAGGACAAAGACAAAGCTTCCTGCTGGATCTTGCCAACAATGGTCTACCAAAAACTTGTTGCTCTCATGGTAAACCAAGATGTCGACCACTGGGTGCGTCACCAAGGTTGTGCTGCGGACATTGCAGAGAAGTACCGGCAAGCTCACGTTACTAGGTTGCCCCCATTCTTGCAAGCATGTTGTGGCCCTTCTAGGTGGAAGAATTGGAAGCTAGCATACATGTATGTCAATATCAAGTCCAAATGTTTCAGAAGCGGCTTTGGTCGAACCTGCTCCAAAGATTTCCATGCATGTTGCCGGCATGTGGTAAGCTGGGCCGCACATCCATGCAAACGGCTTTACAAGGCAACTGCCCGAGGACTTGAGGCAGCCATTAGGCTGTGGGGAAAAGGGTTTGAAACACATGACCTGTTCTCTGCCGTCAGTGACCTGCGTGCTGCAGTGAGCAAGTTGCGCCATGACCATGGTTGTTTGTCTCAGTGTTATAAGTGCTGTTCCCCTAAACCACCCTTGTGTGCATGGGTAGGTGATGCGGCCCAGTTGTTTGAAGAAATTTCTAGGGATGAGGTCTTACGCCGGCTTCGGCTTGTATTTGCGGAACTTCGCGACAGTTCCCATCAGTCATTTGGTGTGGTTACCAAAAAAAGCCGGCGCTTGCATTACTGGGTAGCCCGAAACAATTTCCGCCCAACTGCTGGTTCCCATCTCCATCGGTGGGACGACATGTTGACAATTGCAGAGCTTGCCCTGATGCAGACATGTGTGAACGTTGGACCAGTTTTGTTCGAGCAACGCAGGGGTGTTCCCATAGGTGGTTTTCTGTCTAAACAATGTGCATCTGTTATACTAGGTGTTTCTGAAGCGCATTGGGTCGACACTAACAAGGGCCAGGGCGTCTGGTACCCACCTATGATGCGCTTCTGCGAAGCAATTGCTGCCACTCGCTATGTTGATGACCTCTGTCTTGTTTCCTCTGTTCTTTGCACCAACTGCTTACATGAGCTCCCTAGCCACATGTACGATAAACCAGTGTCTTTTGACGCAACACAACAAACGGACTTGGGGTTGCCTTGGCTTGATGTGTGGATTCAATGTGTGGGTCTTGATATGCATGTCCATGCTCATGGTGTTGAAAGTACTTGGCGTTCTCTTGCCGCGCAGGGAATCCTTGAACTCCCCACCAAGTTCCGCTTGATGCCTTTTCAAGGAGAAGCGCTTCTAGATGTCCCACAGTTGCTTGCACTCCTTCATGGCAAATTGAATCGTTGGCGTTCTCTGGACTTGCCGCTGGCCAGTTTGCATCGTGCAGTTGAATGTGAGTTGCAGATTTGGGCTTTGCATGGGTACCCCCTAGGTGTCATGTTAAAGATTTGGCGGCGTGGCCGATACTGCCCGCCAGCTATTAAGCATGCTCGGGAAATCTTAACAAAAGCAATTGCCGTGCGAGGGCCGCAAGCTTGTGTCTGTATAAACCTTTAGGCCAGCTGCATGACATTTCCTATATGTCTTGTTCCCCTATTGCTGGTTGTAAGGGACGGATTTGTTCGGTTTTTCTTAGGTAAGCTTTTCACATGACTGTTGCCATCCCAGTGCTCACCTGGCACTCAGCTGGTTTCACCTCACCTTTCTCTCCTTTGCGCCATGGGGAAAGGCGGCTATGGCAAAGCATGGTCACGCCGTCAGCCATGGCAGCAAAACCACAGAACTTGGTCGGGCAAAGGCGGCTGGCAAAAGTGGGATGGCCATGACCACGGCCACCACTCCAACCATTACAGTGAAGCTCACAAGTCATCTTTGAATCAGCTTTGTGCAGGGGTAGTGAGTTCTGCATGGGATGGCGTTTGCTCCGGAGTTGCCTCCGCAGCATGGAAAGCTGTTGAGGGGACAGCTGGGCTTTTTATGAAATCTTGCCAGAATGATAAGCAGGCTGTCAAGCAGACTGCCCAGGGCATGATGGCTTGCCTGGCAGGCAAAGCCGAAGAACCACAGAATGCCGTTGACATGCCAGCCGAAGAACCAAGCGACCAAAAAGGGGAGCAGAAGCTGGTATTGTCCATACTTGAGCTGCAGAAAGAACAGATGCAACAGCAGTCTCTCTTACAGAAGCAACTCTTTGACATGTGCAATGCCAAGGCAGAAAAGCCACCTTCCGCACCCAAAAGTGCTCGGCAAAAGGCCACCACCAATGGAAGCAATTCCCGGAACAGCAGCAGTGGCAAGTCCAAAGCTGCTACATCCAGCCCTTCAGCTTCGGCACCCTCAGAGAAACCGACCCGTCGCAGAGTTCGCGGTGGAGCTTCGGCCGCAAAAAAGCCCACCAGAAAGACAGGCAGAGCAGCTGCCAAGCCCAAGGCAAGCAAGACAGCATGCAAGACCAAAGGCAAGACGACTGAGTGACTAGTTGCTGCCTTGCGCAGTGCGCTGGCTGCTTGCATCCAGCTCTTTCAGGCCTGTCTCTGGCAGCTCTGCCGGTTGACACTGGTCATGAGCGCATGTTGGGCGCTGATCAGGGTGAATGTCTGGCTGGCACGTGCTGCTTTGGAAGACCTAGAGGCTGCATATGCCTTGCGGGTGGCCAACGATGCTTTGATGAAAGCAACGGAAGCACTGAATGCTGAGAGGGGCAGTAGGACAGCTGAGAATGTCTTGGGGAAGGTCTTACCATCCCTAGTGACATCCACCACGGGTGGGTTTTCCCATCTGGCCATAGATTTGTTTTTCCGATTTGCAAAGCCTTCATTTATGTCCCTGACTGGTTGATTTGTCGCTCCTTTTCTTGTTGCTGTGTCCTTTGTGATTCCTGGGCTGAAGGCATTTAATTCAACGAGGCGTGTTCCTCGCAGCAATCAGAGGTTCAAAGACTACACTGCAGTTCTCCGTGCAGTGTTGCTGAAACTGGCACAAGCCGTGCTCGAAGCCAGAATCAGTGGCGGCAGTCGGGAGAAATAAGAGAAGATTGCACCAGCATTTGCTTGTCTCTACTTTGTGATTGAAATATGCTTTCATTATCCCAGAGAAAAACAATCATGAAAATTTAGGGTTGCTCCAACTCATCATATCCCATAGGATCCATGTATGGTATATATGCTAACATTTGGGGTATATTGATGGGATAGCCATTTATGGCTAGTAAATGATAGCCATTTATGGCTAGTAACTTGGTCATATATGACCTATATATATATATACATATTGGACCAGGCAATTTACCGACCATTCCTTCGGCGCCAGGTGCCAGCTTCTGTAGCCTTGAGGAGGTCAAGACGCCTCCGGAAGAGGTGTATTTCATGGTGCATTTCATGGTGATTTGGTGGTGGTTTCTTGGTGGATTTCATGGTGATTTAGTGGATTTTAGTGGTGATTCATATTGGATTATATTTCATGGGGATAATATCCGATATTACCAAGAAAGATGATTTGAGCGTGATTTAGTGGTGATTAATGTTGAAAGAAATGTGGTAAATCCCTATGCCACAGAGCACGAAGTGGTTTACATATTTTTACCACCCAATTATGGCAATATCACATTGAGGATGGCTTACATATATATGTTGATACATTACCTTAAACCCAATGCTAAAGTAGTTTGAATAGTTGAATATTGGATGATTTTTGGGGTCAGCCACTTTTGGAAACCCACAAAATTGTGGAGTGCATTCGGAATCTTCATTGGAAGGGCGAGTAGTACCCTTTTTTAATTGAAGTTGTTAGTGGTTTAGGATGTCTTGTGCGGAAAATGCTGCTATTCACCTAAAGATATTTAAAGATAGTAGTTTAATATAGTTTAATTGTCAAATTGTCACATGTTTTCACCATGTTCAAAAAATCTGCCAGGTACCTCTCTGGGAGTTCCCCGAACTGATCTGCGTCCGGCTTCTACTGGGGAGCATACCGCTGACGGAAGAGGAGGTCCCTGGGAATCCATGACCCGTCTGCTCGGCGATCCACGGTTCGTCAACACTCAGCCACCATATTTTTGCGGGTCATTCTTCAATCAATGGATTGGTTTAAGGGAAAATTTACAGGAAACCATGGGTTTTTACCATTAAATATGGGGTTTTCCGGTTAAAATTTTCCCCTAAACCAATCCATTGATTCAAGGCTTTGGGAACAGATATCATGTTTGCAACGTGCCAAAAAATCATGGTACATCCCCAGCTTTCTGCCTGGACGGAACTCAGGTCTCCAAGCGGTGTCCAGCCGTACAATCTGTTAAAGCCCAATGGTATCGGGTATATTACGGTATAGATGATCTTATTTTTGGACAGGGTTTTGAGATGCTTTAATACCCCCAAGCGGTTTCTGTGATTTGGCAAGTCTTCGATGTTTTTTCGTGCTTTGATGGTTTACTGCAGTTCCATTTCTGCGGGTTGCACATGTAAATAACAATACAAATGGGATTCTGGGACAATAGGGTGCCCCCAAAGCAATGTTTTAATCTTCATGTTCCGCAGTTAATGACTTCAGGGTAATTTGGTTAGGACATTTTAGGACAACCCATCTCATATAGTTGGTTCGTTGCATCCCATTGCAGATGTTCTCCATGGTTGGTTCTCTAAGCTCAAAATACACTGTACACGCAGCGCAGGGGTTCCCAAATAATTAGATAAAATTGTGTTTCCAGGATGTTAGTTCGATGGTCTTTTCCCCACAATTTCTTCCATCTCTTCGAGGGGCTGCTATACAAATGTCTTTGATCATGTTTGTATATCATATTGCTTCCATATCCCGTTATAGTCCATCAGATCTCGATCGAATCCACAGGAAACGCTGAATTTCCAATTGATATCGCATGATATGTCCATAATCATCCACAATCCGTTTATTTATTTCTTGAGGTTTTAACCATCACTAAGTCCGTCTATGGCACATGTTGCCAGGGGAGTCACGTCTCCACAGGTCCTCTTGGTGCGCAGGGTGCGGCATGTGAATCGTTGCAGCACCGAGGGGCCTCTGCTGACGCTGTCAGAGGAGTTCGGCTGCGTAGGCCAAATAAATTTAGGTCATTCTTGATTTTCATGGATATTGGACTAAAATGGAATAAATATAAATAATTAATGAATATGGATTAAATAAATAGTATATGTATGAATAGTGATATAATTATCTATATTCATAAATGAATGTAATTAAATGGGGTGAGAGTCGCTTCAACTAAGTTTATTTACCAGTTTTACAAAGCGGGGTCGATAGGAATTATAAAACCAGCAGAGGGAATCCGCTATGGAAACCTCGTCAATATGGGCAAGGTCAAATTCTACGGCTCAGGGAACAATAACAGTTATGGGGACTGCTGTTTTCATCTATATCATTACCCTGCGGAATCCCGAAGTTTTCAGGAAATGAAACTGAGCGTTGTCAAACACAGCTTTGACACCAATACTTCTAGAGGCTTCGAACAAAGTAATTCTGCGAAAAAGGCCTTCTACTTCTAGTGTACAACCAGGTCACCTAGCAAGCATGATCCGGGTGTGTCTGGAAATCGGAGATACCAAACGGTAATCGCATTGTTGGCAAAATGATGATACACCCTGAAAATGTGGGGCGTACGTTCAAACAAAGCTATTTGAAGATTCCGTTGAATCCGTACCAGTTTTTCAGATTCCGTTTCTGCTTTTCTTTAAAATCATTTTATCTACCTTTCCCCAGTCTCACCTGACAAGACTAGAACCGCTTGCAGGAGCGGCCAGAAATGGCTCTCTACACTATGGTGGCCATGGATATCTCACGGCACGTGGATGACAGGCCTGAGCGAGTTGACATCCAGTGGCTAACCAACAAAAAGCAACATGGTTTTGGAGTTCATCTATTATCCATCTACAATCATCTATAATTCATCTATAATTCATCTATAATCATCTATTATCCATCTATGATAAACTATAATTCATCTATAATCATATATAATAAACTTTAATTCATCTATAATTCATCTATAATTCATCTATAATCATCTATGATTTATTTGTATTTCATTTGTAATTCATCTATAATAATCTATAGTTCATCTATATTCATCTATTATCATCTCTTATCTTCTATTATCACATTTCATCTATTATCCATCTATAATTATCTATAATTAATCTTTAATTCATCTATAATTTATCTATAATCATCTATAATCAATCTATGATAATCTATAATTCATCTATAATTCATCTATAATTCATCTATAATTCATCTATAATGATCTATAATTCATTTGTAATCTGTACTGTATTTCATCTATAATTCATCTATATATATCTATATTTCATTTATAATTCATCTTTAATTCATCTATAATAATGTAAAATTAATCTATAACCATCTATATAATCATCTATTATCCATCTATAATAATCTATGATTCATCTACAATCAGCTACAACTCATTTATAATCATCTATGTTTCATCTATCATTCATCTATAGTTTATCTATAATCATCTTTAATAATCTGAAATTTATCTATAATCATCTATAATAATCTATAATTCATCTATAATCATCTATTATCAATCTACGATAATCTATAATTCATCTATAATCATCTCTTATCCATCTATAATAATCTATAATTCATCTATAATTCATCGATTAGCAATCTATAACAATCTATAATTCATTTATAATAATCTATAATTCATCTATATAATAATCTATATTTCATCTATAATCATCTACATTTCATTTAGAATCATCTATGAATAATCCATTATTCATCTATAATCATCTATATTTCATCTATAGTTCATCTTTAATTCATCTATAATCATCTATTATCAAACTATAATTCATCTATAATCATCTCTGATTCATCTATAATCATATATTTTGATCTTGAAGCATCGATTATCATCTTTAATCATCTATAATTCATTTATTATCCATCTATAATAATCTTTAATTTATCTTTAATTCATCTATAATTCATTCATAATTCATCTATAATTTTTCTATAATCATATGTATATGTGATATTTTATAATACATCATGTTTACATAATGCTGCCAGGCGTTTCGCCATCCAAGTCCTGCGACGCGATGCTGGCAAGTGGTCTGCAGCCTTCAGGCGGTCTTAACATGCAACCGCCATGTGTGTCAAAGGAAATGATGGCTCCCCCCACACGAATAGGGGTTTATAAATGTATATAATGGTTTATGTGGGTTTATATCTATATAACTATCACATATGTATGAATCTGTATAAATATCTATACCATATATAGGGGTTGATCTGTAAGATTAATATACATATGACATGTTGATGTTATAAAATATTGAGACTTACACAGTAGCAAGGGACTCTTATGCTAAAAATATGGTTTAAACACGTTTTTGTTTAATGATGTAAATACGCTGAAATTGACGATTGCGATTTTTTGGCTTTTTCTGGAACGCTTGGGCCCGGGAGGGCCCGGTCCGGGTCCCGGAATGTTTAAAAAAAAACATAACAATCTCATGTAAAACATACATATTTTTTATCATTAAACACATCATAAAAATTTCCATAATTTACGATTTGTAGGTCATAAAACTTCATAAGATATTCATAGTGTTTCATGAGATTTTATGGAATGTTATGTTTATGTTTTAATGAAAAACATATTACTTTTTATGAAATGTTTAAGGTTTTTTATGATTCCGGGAACCCGGCCCTCCTGGACCTAAGCGTTCCAGAAATCAACAAATTCATCGTACAACAAACATAAATTCAATCGTCAAAACATCGTTAAAAAAAAACCTGAAATTTCCATTTTTTTTGCAACTTAGTGAAATTACTAAAAAAACACATAAAACATCCTAAATAACATTATTTATACAATTCAAGGCGTGGCTAACTTTCAAAGTCTCACATATAATATCTAAAACAGGGAACAGATAGGGGTTTACCCCATATATATATAATATATATATATCGATATTATATATATAAATGTAGATATATAAACTATATAATACATGAACTTGTATACATGATGTATTGATTCTATCCATAAAAAAACACCGACGAGGCTGCTCCGGGAATCCTGGACTGGTCCTATTGCTGTGGCCCACGCACCCTTGCTGGGTGGGGTGGCCGACTTCGTGTGAGCGATTGATTTCCCCTGATAAACAAACAGTTTTGCTATTGAAAATGGCCATTTATAGTGGATTTTCCCATTAAACTATGGTGATTTTCCATAGTTATGTTAGTTTACCAGAGGGTAATCATAGCTGAATTGCATGGGAATTCATCATCAATACCATATTAATCTTAATTCATCAGCTATAATCATTCCAGTTATTGTATCTTAAGGGAAACGGGTCTCACAATGCCACGTTTCTGTTGGGAATGGCATGGAATGACACTATCATCATTGATAATCATCATCCCTATTCATTGAACTACCACTTGATGATGATTATCCCACATATAATATATTCAGTTATCAATTGATTTCCAATGATCTGTGCGCGGGGGACATGTAAAGAACCACCATTTCCACATCGCAGTCAAGTCAAGGTATTGCTGCGCCATGTTTTCTTCTTGAATTACAGCAACAAGGAAAGAGGAACTTTAGGTTTATCCGTGATGTAATGTGGTATACACAGCTGCCATATAATGGGTATATCATGAGATATAAGCAACCAACACTACTCGTATGTTCAAATATTATGGCTATATGATGGGTAATGTGGTAAACCCACTGCCATAAACCATCCCCTTTCAGTGGTTTATGAAATTGGGTATGCCTCTATTTGGGATGATGTAAATGACCCAAGTCATGATTGGTTAATGGGATGGTTGTGATTGGGTTTACCACATGGAAAAAAACAGCAAAATCATACAACCGTGTATCATATATCCATAGATATCCCATATGTCTCATCAGAGATTGCCAGATTTCATCAGACTTTTTAACACTGCTAGGTGTGGACAAGCACTGGTGCTACGCTATGCAGGTCCTTACTGCAGGACCAAGGGACGGAAGGGAGCGACCACTGCCAGTTTCTATTGGTTTTTGCTATGAATCCATCACTGCTCGGTGGTTTCTATGTTTGTTTGAATGATCTATGTTTGGATAATGCATAATGGATATTATACATATATATATATATATATGATATCCCAGTAATCAATAGATCCATCGATAATTATGATAATGATTGGATATCTGGATCTAGGTTTAAGAGATACCTATATTACATTATATTACTGGATAATATAAAATCATATCCTATGTGCTAAAGTTAGTACTAAACCATCGGGGTTCTCGCACAGTTGGTCATCCCGCAGGACACCATGGCCAGAAGTTGCGCCGCAGGGCCAAGTTTGGGATGGCTAGGGTTTTCCCAACAAAAACTTCATAGCTGGTTGGTGGTTTCAAACATGGCTTTTATTTTCCATTTCATATATGGGATGTCATCCGAAACCCATTGACGAAGTCCATCATTTTTCAAGATGGTTAAAACATGTTAAAACCACCAACCAGATAGACATGGTAGTATTTTCCAGCCACCTTTGATGACACCCCTGTGGATCTGGTGCAGGGTCGATGAATGGTGGTGATTACAACATGTGATTTCTATCCCTTTGCGCAATCCCACTTAGGTGTAGGCTTACACATGCCCATGACGGATCCATGGTGCTGGTATATATGCTAACATCACTGGGGTATATTGATGGGATCCATGTTACTATATATAGCAGCACCATGGATCCTATGGGTGCTTACACCCATCACATAACATTTTCGAGTTTTATGTACCCAACTATATCATATTCTGTGCAAACTTCCAGTTGGGTGTAGGATCATGGTCCCGTCCTCCGTCTCTCCACCCCCCCCCCATGGGTTGGGTCCCCAGGTAGCAGCCCCAATTCCCTTCTATTTGCAAGCTATTGGCAGCATTTCTGAGGTCCAGCTGCGTATTTGCTAGGTCTTTGCAGCATTTCTGACTACCAGCCTCGCATTTACTAGATACATGCTACCTTTTAGGCGGCCTACGTAGCACACATACTCCTTCAAAGTACCTACGTGCTACCTA